ACACACACACACACACACACACACACACACACACACCGGCTTTGCTTTCTGGTAGTGTCTTGGAAGGGCTCTTCTTTAGGGCCTGGTCCCGAGGCCAGGGGAAGGAGATGAGCAGGCCCTAATTTTCCTCTTGGACTGTCAGAGGTCTGCCATGTGCTTGAGCCTTGGAGATCTGTCCTTCCCTTTGTGAACTTCTCATTTTGCCTGAAACCCAAACTAGGTGACACTAACAAGAAGTATTGGGTTAGTCTGGTGGAGATCTAGGTGTCAGTCCCAGCCGGGCCACCTACATTCCACGTGACATGGTCAGATTGCTGGCCTTACTGCTCCTGTGTTTGCCTGTGGGTGGTTGGGTGGTAGAGTCTGGGTCTCTGCCAGGCAGGCTTCCCTACAGGTTCCTTCCTTTAGCCTTCTGGCCTTGATGGTTTTTCCACTTCCTCACCTTTCTTTAGAGTCTTTCATCTCCCCTCAGCCATCACCTCCTCCAGGAGATCTTCCCCTGGTTTCTTCCCTTGCATCTTCTGTATCTCTTGACATACTCACTCTGGGCTGTGATTATCTGTACATGGTCACTGGATGTGCGTGGGTCAAGCATGTGGGCTGAGACTGGCTTAGTGCCTGGCTCAGAAAAGGCCCCCAGGAAAGAGGTACTGAATGAATCTTACTACAAAAACTAGCCATCTGAGGAAAGAAGAGTAAATGGAGAAGTCAGAAAGGTCAGGCAGGAGCAAGGTGGACGCTCCTGGCAGTCACATGAGGGTCCTTGATGAGCCAAGAGTTCATGTGGGTGGCCTGGGGCTATCCTGATCCCCACTCAACAGCTTTGTGATCTTGAGCCCATCATTGAATCCATCCATGATTCTTATTACCCCCCCCATCTGTGAGTGGAGGGGGATGACTACAGTATCTTGGGGCGAGCCCAGAGCATGGGACCTAGCCCTGCCTGAGTAACAGAAGAAAAATAAGAGCTAGGAACCAGGGCTCACCCCTCCAATTCTAGCTATTCAGGAGGCTGACATCTGAGGATCATGGCTAGAAGCCAGTTGGGGCAGGAAAATCCATGAGACTCTTATGTCCAAGAAACTACCAAAAAAATCAAAAAGTGGAAGTGGAGATGTGACTCAAGTGGTAGAGCGCTAGCCTTGAGCTGAAGAGGTGAGGGGCCCAGAGTTCAGGCCCCACAACCGACAAAATAAAAAGTGTCCATGGAAGGCTGCTTCTGGCAGCAGAGACCCTTTAGGCCAGGCTTTAGTGAGGTGGTGGCTGAGTGCCTAGCAAGGTGGGCCACTGTCCCTGAGTCCCAGACCTTCTCTTCCTCAGCCCCATGTGGAAGCCAAGGACAGAGCCGCCCTGCTGAGAGCACGGCGGCCCATCCTTCAAGATCGTGACCTCAAGACGTCGGTGGCGCTCGGCCCTCCACCTCCGCCACCGGGGGCGGGGGCCACCTACCTCCAAGTCCCCAGCCATGACCACCTCCGCCCTTAGACGCCAGGTGAAGAATATTGTGCACAACTACTCCGAGGCCGAGATCAAAGTGCGGGAGGCCACCAGCAATGACCCCTGGGGACCCCCGAGCTCCCTCATGTCGGAGATCGCTGACCTGACCTTCAACACCGTGGCCTTTGCTGAGGTCATGGGCATGCTGTGGCGACGCCTCAATGACAGTGGCAAGAACTGGCGGCACGTGTACAAGGCGCTGACGCTGCTGGATTATCTGCTCAAGACGGGCTCTGAGCGTGTGGCCCACCAGTGCCGGGAGAACCTCTACACCATCCAGACGCTCAAGGACTTCCAACACATTGACCGGGACGGCAAGGACCAGGGCGTCAACGTGCGCGAGAAGGTCAAGCAGGTGATGGCCCTGCTCAAGGACGAGGAGCGCCTGCGCCAGGAGCGCACGCATGCCCTCAAGACCAAGGAGCGCATGGCCCTGGAGGGCATGGGCATTGGCAGTGGGCAGATGGGCTTCAGCCGCCGCTATGGAGATGACGGCCGTTCTCGGGGTTCCCCGTCTTCCTATACCTGTGAGTGAACCTGGGTGTGACCGGGGAAGGGAGGTCACTGTGAGATCCACCCCCCCAAGTCATGATCAGATACCAACCTGATAATATTCTGAGGATTCAGTGAGACAAGGAAAGTAATGGAGCCTGGTATATAGTCGGTGCTCGGCAAATCAGCTGAGACCATACTCTTAGAGTCTTGGTCATCCTTATTGCCAGTGTGCTATCGATAGGGTGGTGTGGTAGGAAGCGAAGGCTCTGTACACGCAGACCATTCTTTCTGCTTCTTTTAAGCTGTATGACCTGGGCAACCAACTCCCTGGACCTCAGTTCCCTCCTCTGTAAAATGGGGTTAATTGTACTTGCTGAGACCAGGCCCAAGTCTTCAATCCTTTGTCCAGGCACAGGGCACTTAGTGTTAATGTCCCCACTCCAGGGCACCATCACTGGGAAGTTCCTGATTAGGCTTCTGCCCATGATGGTGGCCTCTGGCCCCTAGTGGTAGCCTTCCACCCATAGTGGTTGCCTCCTTAGCCTAAGAACCCCAGGATGGCCCTCCTTCCTTAAAGCCCGTGAGAGCTTGCCCAGGGCTCTGAGGCAGAAAACTTGTTTAATTTCTTTTTAATTTTTATTTTTTTAGTGCCAGTCTTGGGGCTTGAACTCAGGGCCTAAGGCGGTTATCCCTGAGCTTTTTGTTTAAGGCTAGAGCTCTACCACTTTGAGCCACAGTGCCACTTCCAGGTTTTTGGTAGTTGAGTGGCGATAAGAGTCTCATGGACTTTTCTACCTGGGCGGGCTTCGAACTACAATCAGATCTCAGCCTCCTGAGTAGCTAGGATTACAGGCTTGAGCCACTGGCACCCAACGACCTTGTTTGGTTTAAAGATCATCCCGTAGTGTCCCCCCTGACCCCAAACGGGATGGGATTCAGCTAGAAGAATCCAAGAGCTAGAGTCAGGAGGCCTGGATTAAATCCTGGCCAGGCATTCCCCTGAACTCTCTGCCACCTACCAAGGGAGCCATTGTCTCTGTACCACTGGGTGGAACAGGAAATCTATATGAGGTCTCTAGCACACTGCCTGGCTTGCTGGTGTCCTTGATGGCCCCCAGTTTCCCTCTGTGAACCCCGAGTTTCCTGGCAGGCTGACGGGAGGGCCAGTGGGTACTTGGTGTGGTCAGAGGGTACCATGCTTGTTGCAGCTGCTTCCTCATCCCCCCGCTACGCCTCGGACCTGGAACACGCACGACCTCAGACATCAGGAGAAGAAGAGCTGCAGCTGCAGCTGGCGCTGGCCATGAGCCGAGAAGAGGCAGAGAAGGTAAGGCCTGCGACTGTACCTGGTAGGCCGCAGAGGAAAGAGTGAGGCCAGGTTGCTCCACAGCCTTGAGTTGGGCTGCCCAGATAACAGAGGATCTGTGTCCTGTGGGCTTGACCCAGGCAGGGACTGCCTCTCACCTCCAGGGGTCTCTGGCATTGGGTGTTGGTTGGGGTACACAGTGTGTCTTTAGGATGGGTCCTGCTACCTCTTCCTGGTGGGGAGAGGGGTGTGATGGTTACATTCCTAGGGGAATTGAGGATTAGTGCTCTGCCATCAGCTGTACTTTGGTGGTGGGGGGGTGGAGGGGGACAGGGATATAACCTCTGATACCCTTTCCTTCTATATTACTTCTGGGAATCTGGTCAGACTGGGCAGGAAGAAGCTAAGGCTCACCTGGCAGGCCTAGGGGAGCTCTCAGCACCTGGAAGAAAAGACCCAGCTTCCTGCTCCTTAAACTGCACCATAGATTCCATGCAGGGACTCACCCCCAGTGGGGTATTTCTAGAAGTCTTTCCACCCCTGTTCCCTGCGCAGGGCTGCCCTGCCTCTCAGCTGCAGGATGCAGGGGTGGAAGCTCTGGGCCAAATTCACCCCCTCTTTTCCTCCCTCGCAGCCAGTCCCCCCAGCCTCCCATAGGGACGAGGACCTACAGCTGCAGCTGGCTCTGCGTCTGAGCCAGCAGGAACACGAGAAGGTAGTGAGTGGGTCAAGCTGTCTGGGCTGCAGATGCCGCTGCTGGTGTCCATGCTGGTGAAGGCGCTGGGGTGCACTAACCAACTTCTCTACTGCTCTAACCTCGGTGCCTCCCACACTGCTCTCTTCTGGACCCCAGCCTTGGGGATCAGGTCCCTCTCTCTCAAGGCCTCTTTGTCCTCTGGGTCTTCTGCAGGAGGTGAAATCCTGGAGAGGAAATGACTCCCCAGTGGCCAACGGTGCAGAGGCCGCCTTCTGCCACCATCGGGACAAAGAACCTGGGAGAGAAGAGAGGAAGGAAGAAGAGAAGCTAAAAGACAGCCAGGTAGGAAACATGCCGGGATGCGTGGGCTAGACAGGTCTAGGAGGTAATTGTGTTGGCATTTGTGAAGCGTGTACAACAGTGCTTGGTGTAGAGCAAGCACTACTTAAGGGTTTATTGAAAGGAAATGGGGGTGGGGGCTGGTAGCAGCCCCTGGTCCCCTGGAATAAGATGGAGTCAGGCTGAAAGCTGGGCTATCAGAGTCCTGATTGAGCCCTTGGCCTTGCTGCCACTTACTTTATGATTTGGGCATGTCTCTGGCTTCTGTGTTCCTCTTTTGCACAGTGTGCTTCCCTGACAATTCCAGCTCTGGCATCCTAGGATGGTGAGAGTGTAGATCAGCACTATGGGCTGGCTGAGTATCAGTGGCTCACATTTGTAATTCTAGCTACTCAAGTGGCTGAGATCAGGAGGATTGCAGTGTGAGACCAGCCTGTACAGGAAGGAAAAAAAAAAGTTTACTAGATTCTATATCTTTCAGAATAATTACCAAAAAGCAGGCCTGGAGGCTCAAGTGGTTGAGAGCCGGCTGAGAGAATGTAAGGCTGAGTTCAAGAGCACTTGCTTAGCAAGCTCAAGGTCCTAAGTTCAAACCCCAGTACTTGCCCCCCTCCCCCAAACTCTCTAAAAATAGACTAGCGGCTGGCACAGACACAAGGTGCTGAAAACATCTTGGGCTCCCTGGGAGAGGGAGAAGATGGCCACTGGGAATGAGACTGTCTTCGAAAGCTGATCATGCTGCCCTGGGTACCTTTGTACCCTTCCTGCCCATGTTCACTGTGGCCAGTTTCTCTTGAAGATTGACCTAGGGAGGTAGGCTTGTTGTACAAACTCCATCTTGGTCCATATTCCCCCTTTCTCCTGGCCTGGGCTCTATTCTAGTTCTACCTCTCCCCACTTGTGTGACTTCAGGCCAAGTCTTTCCCCATTCTGGGCCTCAACTGTCTCGCCTGTAAACTAAGTAAATCATCTGCCCTACCTGCCTCACGGGGTTGTTACAAAACGCAGGGACTAAATGGATGAGGAAGCGTTTTATACACTGAAAGCACTGTCTGTAGGTGAGGGATCATTATGAGATGTTTGTGAAATGAATAAAGGAAGGAATGAGCTGGAGTTAGGCTGCAGGTCAGGACCTGCCCTCCCTCTGGGCCCAGCCCACTTCTGAGCCACTACTGCCTCTCCCCTCCACAGTCCTCCATCCTGGACTTGGCTGACATCTTCGTACCTGCCCCGGCCCTGCCCTCCACACACTGCTCTGCGGACCCATGGGACATCCCAGGTGGGCATGCAGGGCTGGCTGCAAGGGGCTCCCAGGCTGGCCCCCAAGAGCCCCTTCCTTCCATCACTTGCCTGCAGACCATCTCCCCTAAATAAGTGAGGATCACTGGACAAGTGCTTGCCTCCAAAGCCTCAGCTGCCTCTGGGACATGGCTGTGGTACTAAGGTCTAGGATATGGTCTCTGGTGCCTTGCTTGGCCCAGCCCTGATGCTGCCTGGGCCTGGGTGTGTGTGTGTGTGTATGTGTGTGTGTGTGTGTGTGGTGCCTTGCTCGGTCCAGCCCTGATGCTGCCTGGGCCCAGGTGTGTGTGTGTGTGTGTGTGTGTGTGTGTGTGTGTGTGTGTCCAGGCTCCTAAGATAACTGCTGAGTTTGGGCTCCAGCTTGCTGTGTGGTCCTGAGTTTGCATCCTACCTATGAAGTGTACCCCTATACCTCCTAACCTGGGCTGGGTCCCTGGGAAGGTTCTGGACAGGGATCTGATGAGTCTGGGGTCATGGTTTTATTGTTCCCCTTCCAGGTCTCAGGCCGAACACAGAGCCCAGTGGCTCCTCCTGGGGACCCTCTGCAGACCCCTGGTCTCCAGTCCCCTCAGGAAATGCCCTTTCCCGAAGCCAGCCTTGGGACCTGCTTCCTACACTCTCTTCCTCTGAGCCCTGGGGCAGGACCCCAGTGCTGTCTGCCGGACCCCCTCCCACAGATCCCTGGGCAGTGAACTCCCCCCACCACAAACTCCCCAGCGCTGGGGCTGACCCTTGGGGGCCCTCCGTGGAGACATCCAACACACCTGGTAAGTGGAAAGCAGAGGGGGTGTGTAGGAGACTAGGGGCATCTGAGTTCTCCTCCTTTCCTCCCTGCCAAGAGCAGCAGGTGCTGCTAGCTTTAGAGGGCCTCTTCCTGGGTCAGGAGTCAACCTCAGCCGGCCATTTCTGCCAGTTCATCTCATCTTCTTCCTCTTTGGCCAGCTCTAGGTGGTACTCCAACCTTCCACCCTCTTGCCAAACCTCCGGATTCTACAGACACCAAGCAGGAGCTGGAGTGTGCCCAGGCTCTGCCCCTGGGGAAGCCCAGAAGCCCTGTGGGTGAGTAGGAGGCCCTAGGAGGGAAGGTTCCTAGAATGGGCCTCTGTCCACGTGGATGGCCTGTCCGTGCCCACCACCGATGAGCACGCCTATCTCTTCTAGAGCTGGATCTGTTTGGAGACCCCAGCCCCAAGCAAAACGGCACCAAGGAGCCAGACACTTTTGACCTGGGCACGCTGGGGGAGACACTAACCCAGCCCAGCAAGGAGACGCGCCCTTGCCGGACCCCAGAATCCTTCCTGGGTCCCTCGGCCTCGTCCTTGGTCAACCTTGACTCGCTGATCAAGACGCCCCAGGCTGTGAGGACCCGGAACCCCTTCCTGACAGGTAGGGTTCCCCTCTCCCCATCCCTCTGCACTGGGGGACCCTTGCTGTCGTCACTGCCCTCCCATCAGACCCTGCCCCGTCCTACAATCTGGGCTGATTCTAAGGACCTCTCCTCCCTGTCCTCTCTCGGGTCCGCAGGTCTCAGCGCTCCATCCCCCACCAACCCGTTCGGCGCCGGAGAACTGGGCAGGCCGACCCTGAACCAGATGCGAGCCGGTTCACCCGCGCTGGGCCTGGCTGCGGTCCCCGGCTCCATGACCTACAGCGCCTCTCTGCCCCTGCCGCTCAGCAGCGTGCCGGCCGGCATGGGCCTCCCCGCCTCGGTCAGCGTCTTCCCGCAGGCCGGGGCCTTCGCCCCACCGCCCCCCAGCCTGCCGCAGCCGCTGTTGCCCACGTCCGGCTCGGCGGGGCCGCTGCTCCCCACCCCGCAGGCCGGCACCAACCCCTTTCTCTGAGCCTCTGAGCCGTCCTGTGGGCGGTCGGTGCGCCAGGCCCACACCCGCAGGTCTGCTGGCCCGCGGCGCCAGCCCGTCCCGTCGGTCGTGCAGGTTGAGCACCGATCCAGGCCTCCACCGAGCTCGGACAGCTCCCGAAGCTTAGAGACTGAAGACCTCCGGGGGTCCGAGACCACACAATGAAGACTGGGACTCATGTCCTCAGATCTTACCAAGTGGACTGTTTGCGAGCTGTGGCAGCTGGGCCTGGATCGCCAGCTGCGGAGAAATGTACTATTGAACAGTCTGGGAGTGCAGAAATACCTCTATTTCCATCACAGCTTCTCAACCCCCAACCCTTACCTCCTGTTCTAGAAAGCGCCTTCCAGATGCTTCCAAGCTGTCACTCATTCCACTCATTTATCACACACACATAGGCCCTGGAATGATCCAACAGCCCCCAGCCTCCAACAGAACCAGTTGGCTCCTATTTATTGTACTTTTTTTTTTGTATGTCAGTACGGGGGCTTGAACTCAGGGCGTGGGCATTGTCATTTAGCCTTTTTTTCCTCTCTCTCTCTCTCTCTTCTTTTTGTGCTCGAGGCTTGCATTCTGCCACTTGAACCATAGCTCCACTTCTGGCTTTTAGGTAGTTAATTGGAGATAAGAGTCTCATGGACTTTTCTTCCTGAACTTTTCTGTAGGCCTCAGATCTCAGCCTCCTGTCTAGCTAGCATTACAGGTATGAGCCACTGGTGGCCACGCTGTTGTGCACTTTTTAACATGCTGGGCACTTTAGGCAGATAATTTAACTCAATCATTGCAACAACAGGCCTCTAAGGCAGACAATATTCTTAACCCCCACTCAGGACTGGCTACACATTTTGTATGGCCAAACGGCTTTTTGTCCACTGCTGGGGGGTAAGATCTCAAAACAGGGACACATAATGTCAAACCAAGCACATAGCCATCCCAGGTACAATGGCACAGATATTTCTCTCTGTCTCTGTCTTTCTCTATCTTCTGTCTCTGTCTCTCTGTTTCTCTGTCTTTCTGTCTGCCTCTCTCTTTCTCTCTCTCCTCTCTTTCTGTAGCTCCAGCTTTGTAGTTGAAGTCAAGTGGCATGCTCAGAGCGTGGGTGGCTTGGGGCTGGGATTCAGATTAGACAGTCTGGCTCCATAGCCCAAAGCTCTCAGGCGAGGGCCCAGATTTAATCCAGCAAATATTGACTGACTGCTACAAAGTGCTGGGCTGGCCTGGGAGGGATCCAAACTGCTGAGCTCACAGCCTCCAGGAGTTCAGAGCACAGCGGGGGTGGGGGAGTGGGCAGGCAAGGCAGGGGCATGTGGCACAGGAAGAAATAGGAGGCAGCCTGGCTAGGTACAGGAGCCCCCATGCTTCTTCCTTCTACAGACTCACTTCCCTTCTCTGCAGGCCACGTGGCCCAGCTCACTTCCAGTCAATGCCCCCAATCCATTGGCCTCAGTGCTCAGGGTCTGGCCTTGTAGGGGGCCTACTGCTGCCCGTCCCCCTTTGGGGACATGGAGGGCAAAGGCCTTCCATAGGCCAGAAGCACTAAAGTTACCAGTGTGGAAGGGTGGGCATGCTGTCATGTATTGGGCAGGGTGGGGGAGGAGCTGCTATTACAGACCAGATGGGCTAGATTTCCTACCTAGGAGTCAGGCCAATGTGGCAAACTGTTGCTCCAAGGTTTGAACTTAATGACAATCGCTTCCTAATAGGTGGTTATGCTTTTTGACCTTGAGTAAATGACTCCACCTGGCTATGTTGTGTGCTTCTGTTTCCTTGTTAAATGGGATCAGGAATGCCTTCCTTATGGGGTGCCATACAGGTGCTCCTTGGCTAGTGTCCATTTGCCTGGCAGTCTTCTGTCAGGCTCCATCTTGCTTGTTCGAGATCTTTCTTTGTGCTTACCTCACGCTCCCCAGGGGCTCCCTAGGGGGCTGTTTCTCCTCTGTTTCAGTCTCTGAGATATTGCCAGCCTGGCTTCCAGGCTGCTTGGACCACCACCCTCCTCCTGGGAGACCTAGAGGCTGGCGCTCTGCCCGGCCTCGGCTGCCACTCCTCATTCTTGGGATGCTTTCCTCCTGGCTCAGTGTTCTTCCCCACCCAGCTCCTACCTCATTCCAGTTCCACCTGACTTCCTGATCCCTGAGCTTGACTTCTCAGCTGCTTGACCTCCCAGCTGCCCTGGTGCATGGCCACCTGCAGAGTCTGTCATCACCCCAAATACTCCATGCTCAAGGCTGGCTTCCCCATCTGGAGCTGGGAGTACCCCCAGGCGAAGAAGGACCCAATCTTCCCACCAAGTGCCCTCACATCAAGCGCCCATCCACTCTTCCCTACCCCTAATCCTCTCTAAGCAGTATCTACTCAGCCAGACATTGCTAGGGGCATCACTGGGCCAAGCCCATACAGGGCTTGGAGTTGCTGAAGCCAACGGTCTGTCCTGGCCATCCTATTTGGCATATATGTATGCCTTGCACTTTTGTTGTTGTTGTTGTTGTTTTTTGCTAGTACTGGGTCTTGAATTCAGGGCCTTCTTATTAGCCCAATAAGTTCCCTTCCCATGGCTTAGCATGTTCCTTTCCTAGATAACACTAGGCCCATTTAGTTAAGGCAGTGAACAATAAGCCTCCAACCCCTTTTTACCTTTTTTTTGGGGGGGTCAGTCACGGGACTTGAACTCTGGGCCTGGGCACTGTCCCTCAGCTCTTCAGCTCAAGGTGATCGTTCTACCACTTGAGCCACAGCACCACTTCTGGTTTTCTGGTGGTTTATTGAAGATAAGAGTCTCACGGACTTTCCTACCTGGGCTGGCTTTGAACTGTGATCCTCAGATCTCAGCCTCCTGAGTAGCTATGGATTATAGGCGTGAACTATGGGCTCCCAGCCCCCTTTCACCTTGAGATGGTACTCCCCTGAGGCAGCTACCACCTTGTAAGGCAGCAAGATCCCCTTAGAGTTACCTTCACATCTGGACAGCCACAAGACCCCTTCCTTATCTACTACTGGGGCAGCAGCCATAAATCCTAGAGAGCCACGATAAAGCCCCTGGTCCACACATCCAGAGTCTCTGCCTCCTAGCCCATCCTAAACCTTATAGGTTAGGTCAACTCAGACAATAGCCAGGACTTCTCTCCTGTGAGAAGGGGTCTTGCTGATCCCTTTATTGGCAATAAACCTTCTCTTTGTTCTTTGTACCTGGATGTCTGTGTGGTTTTTCTGGTAAAGTCTAATATACTCTAACACTTCTGTTTTCTCAGCTTTTGAGTTCACAATTTATACTCTACCATTGAGCCTGGCTCTTTTCTTGGTTTATTGAGGATGAAGTTTTGAGGACTTTCCTGCTTAGCCTGGCTTTCAACCATGGTTCTCCAGGCGTCGGCCTCCTGAGTAGCTAGGATTACAGGTGTGAGCCATTGGTACTCCTCACTTTTCGCAGACCCAGGAACTTCTCTGGTCTTGTGCTCTGTCTAGTACCTAGCTTAGTTTTTACATGTCCACAAGCCTGGATATGAGTACTGGTCTCCATTTTAGCTTCCCTGCGTTGTCTCCTTGATCGACTCCTCACACCTGAGACCCTCATTTGTCTCCCTGACAGTCTCCTCTTCATGCCCCCAAGCCTTACCATCACCACATCTCAAAAGTAATGCCCTCCCAAAATATACAAGGAACTAAAAAGTTAACGAGTAAACCAATCAATAAATGGTCAAAGGAGCTTAAGAGAGACTTCTCAAAAGCATGAATGCCAAATAGACACAGGAGGAAATTCTCAACAACGCTGGCCATAAAGGAAATGCAAATCAAAACAACTTTGAGATTCCAGTTAGATTGGCTAACATTAAGAATACAAACAACAACAAATGCTAGTGAGGATGTTGCAGGAAGAGGGGAGGGTGTAAGGGGAGGAAGAACTAGAGTTCCTTTTTATTACACCACCCTGGAGGCAATTTGGAAAGTCCTCAAAAAAAACTAAACATAGAAGTTCCCCATAGGGAAGTCATACCACTCTTGGGCATCTGCCAGAGCAGGGCATCTACAAGCCAGGATGTGGTAAAGACACTTGAACATCCATGTTCATTGCTGCACTATTCACAATAGCTAAATTATGGAAACAGTCCAAATGCCCTACAACAGATGAGTGGCTTGATAAAATATGGTACTTATACACAATGGAATTTTATTCATGCATTAGAAAAAGTAAGATTATGTTATTTGCAGGGAAATGGGTGGCCCTAGACCAAATCATGCTAAGTGAGGTAAGTGAAGCTCACAGAGACAAACGGTACATGTTTTCTTTTATATATGAAAGCTAGGTCTAAAATATAATTATGATGACCTATACAGGACTCTAGGTATTTACATATGAACAGTCAGACTAAAGGAGGATACTCTAAGGGAGAAACTCAAAGGTATAACTTCTCTTAACACTTAAAATATTATTGATTAGCCCAGCACTGGTGGCTCACACCTGTAATCCTAGCTACTCAGGAGGCTGAGATCTGAGGATCACAGTTCAAAGCCAGCCTGGCCAAGAAAGTCCATGAAACTCTGATCTCCAATAAACTACCAGAAAACTGGAAGTGGCACTGTGGCTCAAATAGTAGAGCACTCTCTTTGAGCTGAAGAGCTGAGAGACAGCGCCCAGGCTCAGAGTTCAAGCCCCACGACCACCAACAACAACAAAATACTACTGATTGAAATAAATTCCAGGAAATGGAAACATGAGTTTTTGGTCAGTGGTGATGGTGTTTGTTTTTGCTTTTTTTTTTTTTTTTAGGGACAGTGCAGAAAAGGAGGGAGGAAGGATGAACAAACACAACCATGCTATTCAATATACAGTATTGTATATTGGAGAGGGAAACAGGGAAAGCAAAAGAAGGGGTAATATTGTCCAAAGAAAGTAATGTACTCATTACCTGATTTATGAAATTATAATCCTTCTGTATATCACCTTAATAACAATAAAATTGTATATTTAAAAAAAACATATGTTTAAAAAGCCTCATGACCCTCCCTCCTGGCCTTTTCAAAGAATAAGCCCATCTGCCATCATCCTTGACACCTCCCTCTCCTCCCAGGAGTTTCTTTCTTCACTGTCCTCCATTCTAGCTTTTTTTCTATGGCTTCCCTGGTCCACATACTAGTGTGGCCTCACGACCCCTTTATCCTTTCTTTCCTCTGTCTAGTCCATTCCCCTTGGAAGTTGGCAGGCTCTTTCCAAAGTACAGACCCCTCTGGGTCTTTTTCTTCACTAAAGTCAACCAATAGCTTCTTTCTATTCTCATCAAACATCCCCTTGTCTAAGCTGGGCATAGTGATACCTGCTTGTAGTCCCGGCACTTAGGAAGCTGAGACAGGAAAATCATGAGCTCTAGGCTAGCCTGGACTCCACAGTAAGACCCTGTCTCAAAATAAACAAGAAGGGGTAATATTGATCAAGATGCTTTGCATGTATAAACTGATTTGTTGAAATTGGTAATACCTTTGCCCAACTATTAAAAGATAATG